TTTAAAAAAAGATCAATGAGGACTAAAACAATGTAGTTTCTCTTCAATACTATAAAAGTTTACCCAACTATGACTGCTTCCACTTCGAGAACCCTGGATATGTGAAAAGGGTCCAAACTTGTTCATAACCTATAGTGAAATCAGAGGAAAATGATTGGTTGATGATAACCCTGCTCCTAAAATCTAATTGGTCGATCGTTATAGTAATGTTGTAGCAGGATGTTCATCCAAGAACATGTCCTGCATGGGTAAATTACGTTAAGCTATTCTCCAAACACTCTTGCACATACGCGTCTGTACAGTGTGTGTATTTGTGTGTCTCCCAGAGTCTCACCGGGTCCGGAGACGGGCGCCACCGCTCTTTGCCTGGTCTTTATTGGAGGCTGCTGGACTGTCAGATCTGCAGCAGCAGCAAGGTGACTCTGAAGGGGAGAAATATACAGAGAAATGGACAAAAACATACATGAAATATCCTAAAATCTGAGTGAAAAAAAAAGTTCTCCCCCTATAATGTCTTATCTTAAATGTACGTCACCTCTGTTTTTCATCACATCTGCACAAAGCCGAAGCCAGTTGTAGTCCGATTACCTTGTATTCATACTGCACAAAGCCAAGCTACAATTGCATTACGTTGGTCTGTTAGTCTGACTTCACAAAACTGGCTGCTACAATTTCAGTCAGACTAAACTGTTCACATGATGTTTTAAAAAGACAAATGAAAGCTTTAGTGCAGCTGAAAGCAAACCTATATGCATGTGTGGCAGTAAGTGGTCAGGAGTTTGGGATATTACCAATAATAAGAGAAATCCTATAGTTGACTACGCCACCCGGAATACACCGGGACATAACAGCCCTAAACAAAGTACACACAGCAAGCATGCCTTATACTTAAACCACATATGCAGATGACCTCATTAAAACATCCAGCATGTTTTCTGACTGTAATATTTTGGTTTTATGACAGATAAGCTGACTGTTAGCATAGCACTAACCACAACAACAGAATCACAGACTGTCACAGAATTACCAGATACATACATAAACACACACACACACAATCTGACCATCATTCATCTGAGGATGACGATGAGAGTGATTGAGACTTCAGTCAGCTGCAAGCAACACTTCAAAACCTGTCACACACACACGGTGCACATACTACTACTAATTACCTAAGCGGCATCGCTAAACCGCATGTCAGCCCACCTTTACACATCACAACAGTGGAAAAGAGTCACCAGAGGAGAAAGAAGAGGAACAGAAAATGACAGTAACAAACAAAAGAACATTCAACAGCTTATATAGTTCTAATGACCACACCCACTAAAATAGCAACCAATCAGTTCACATCCCAAAACAACCCCACCAACAGCTACCAATAAAAACACAGTAGCAGCAACTACTTTGGTGCAGCTTCCATTTATGAAAGGAAGGACAAAGATATTGTTTGAAGAGAAAAAGAGTGAGGAAGATAAAGAGACTGACAGAGAGAGTGATTTAATAGTAAACAAGAGTGAGGAAAGCAGCGCACAACAACCTGCCGACTTAAGCACAACCAAACTGAAAACTCAAACACAAGCCAACACAAAACCATCTCAAGAGGATGAAAGGCACGAGAAAGACAGTACTCAAACCACCGTGATCCCATCCAGTGTCAGAGAGGCCAGTCCATCCACGTGGATCATTCCAGCGCTGTTCCCTAAACCTCCTGTTCACAACGGATCACCAAGACCAACAGCTCACACAGCTGCACAACCAACGAAGAACCACAAGACCACATCTACGGTTCCTCACACACGGACCACAACATCAGGCCAGGCTGCTGTCGAAACAGCACCTCATCCCCAGAAACCTCCCCGTCCTGTCCTGGATCGCTCACCGTCATTGACCACTACAGCTCAGCAGGAGTGCTGTATATCCTTATATCAACCAAACTGACCCTTTTTACAGACTGTGATGAGTGTTTCCACAGTTATTTACATCATAACTCATCCAAAGTGCACACACACACACACCGTGAACACCCCCTCGGAGCAGTGGGCATGAGAGAGCGCATGTACATTCACTCCTCCCACCTACAATCCCTGCTGGTACGAGACTCGAACCCACAACCTTTGGATTACCAGTCTGACTCTAACCATTAGGCCACGAGTTCCCACAATACTACTGTTTACCACAAATTTTATCACACTATATACAGTTTTATAACCTTGGTATTAAATTACTCCGTGAGAACTGATTAGATTTACTAATACAACGGCTATCACAGCAAATTTGACATCTTGCTCTCTTCTGACCAACATAATCAGTATTTTTTTCCTCTTTTGGGAAGCCATACATGTGCTATTGTGGATTTTCTCTTTTGCTATTGGGGCAAATGGGGGGAAAAAAAAAAAAAAAAAAGTATAGATTTATGTTAATTATACTTGTTGTAGTTTCTCTTCAATACTATAAAAGTTTACCCAACTATGACTGCTTCCACTTCGAGAACCCTGGATATGTGAAAAGGGTCCAAACTTGTTCATAACCTATAGTGAAATCAGAGGAAAATGATTGGTTGATGATAACCCTGCTCCTAAAATCTAATTGGTCGATCGTTATAGTAATGTTGTAGCAGGATGTTCATCCAAGAACATGTCCTGCATGGGTAAATTACGTTAAGCTATTCTCCAAACACTCTTGCACATACGCGTCTGTACAGTGTGTGTATTTGTGTGTCTCCCAGAGTCTCACCGGGTCCGGAGACGGGCGCCACCGCTCTTTGCCTGGTCTTTATTGGAGGCTGCTGGACTGTCAGATCTGCAGCAGCAGCAAGGCGACTCTGAAGGGGAGAAATATACAGAGAAATGGACAAAAACATACATGAAATATCCTAAAATCTGAGTGAAAAAAAAAGTTCTCCCCCTATAATGTCTTATCTTAAATGTACGTCACCTCTGTTTTTCATCACATCTGCACAAAGCCGAAGCCAGTTGTAGTCCGATTACCTTGTATTCATACTGCACAAAGCCAAGCTACAATTGCATTACGTTGGTCTGTTAGTCTGACTTCACAAAACTGGCTGCTACAATTTCAGTCAGACTAAACTGTTCACATGATGTTTTAAAAAGACAAATGAAAGCTTTAGTGCAGCTGAAAGCAAACCTATATGCATGTGTGGCAGTAAGTGGTCAGGAGTTTGGGATATTACCAATAATAAGAGAAATCCTATAGTTGACTACGCCACCCGGAATACACCGGGACATAACAGCCCTAAACAAAGGGACACAGGTTCATTGCCAAAAGACAGGGTGAGCATAATAATGGGTATAAACAAAAGTCACTTTATTAACATACAACACTTCACACCAGGTCTCAATACATCACATGTCTTTACCAGTAACTTATAAAACAAGTACCATACAATGAGAAAATAAAGGGGGAGGTGGCCAACAAAGACCCTCAGATTTCTACCCCACACTCAATACCCATGACACACACTCGTGAAAAATAAGTAATATTAAACACAGCACTCCATGTGGACACGCAGTACAAGGTACCATGGCCAACCCCTCCCACCTAAATCCACACACCAAACAATACAAAACAAAATAACAGACAGACCCAGATGAATTCCAGACAGAACAAAACAGAGTAAAGTAGAGTAGAGCAGAAGTGCAGTCAGTTACGTGAGGTTCATTAGGCTTCAATTAAGATCATTAGAAACCCCTGGATGTGCAATCAATCCTGCTGGACATTAAACGAAAGTTATGCATAAAAACTTGTTTAAAACAAACTTTAAAACTAGCCATACCTACCAAGAAAACAGTACAATGCTGCAATACACATGGTTATTCTCCAAACACTCTTGCACATACGCGTCTGTACAGTGTGTGTATTTGTGTGTCTCCCAGAGTCTCACCGGGTCCGGAGACGGGCGCCACCGCTCTTTGCCTGGTCTTTATTGGAGGCTGCTGGACTGTCAGATCTGCAGCAGCAGCAAGGTGACTCTGAAGGGGAGAAATATACAGAGAAATGGACAAAAACATACATGAAATATCCTAAAATCTGAGTGAAAAAAAAAGTTCTCCCCCTATAATGTCTTATCTTAAATGTACGTCACCTCTGTTTTTCATCACATCTGCACAAAGCCGAAGCCAGTTGTAGTCCGATTACCTTGTATTCATACTGCACAAAGCCAAGCTACAATTGCATTACGTTGGTCTGTTAGTCTGACTTCACAAAACTGGCTGCTACAATTTCAGTCAGACTAAACTGTTCACATGATGTTTTAAAAAGACAAATGAAAGCTTTAGTGCAGCTGAAAGCAAACCTATATGCATGTGTGGCAGTAAGTGGTCAGGAGTTTGGGATATTACCAATAATAAGAGAAATCCTATAGTTGACTACGCCACCCGGAATACACCGGGACATAACAGCCCTAAACAAAGGGACACAGGTTCATTGCCAAAAGACAGGGTGAGCATAATAATGGGTATAAACAAAAGTCACTTTATTAACATACAACACTTCACACCAGGTCTCAATACATCACATGTCTTTACCAGTAACTTATAAAACAAGTACCATACAATGAGAAAATAAAGGGGGAGGTGGCCAACAAAGACCCTCAGATTTCTACCCCACACTCAATACCCATGACACACACTCGTGAAAAATCAGTAATATTAAACACAGCACTCCATGTGGACACGCAGTACAAGGTACCATGGCCAACCCCTCCCACCTAAATCCACACACCAAACAATACAAAACAAAATATAACAGACGGACCCAGATGAATTCCAGACAGAACAAAACAGAGTAAAGTAGAGTAGAGCAGAAGTGCAGTCAGTTACGTGAGGTTCATTAGGCTTCAATTAAGATCATTAGAAACCCCTGGACGTGCAATCAATGATTTTAATTAGAAAAAAATCATGGCCTTAAGTGTAGTGGATACTTAGTCTGTACTTAAATCCACCGAGAATAAGTCAGGGAACTTTTTTTTTTTGTTGCACAGACTGATATTTAATTGACATTGTTTAGTTGTGGTCAACAATAACTTTTCTTTACTGTATTACAGTAATGAGAATTTACAAAAAACAACAGAAACATTATTTAAATAAAAAATATTTATTAAGACTTTAAGATCTCGTCCATAAAATCTCATTGCACATTAATGTGGCAGACACTGTCAGACCGCAAACCTGGATATGGCTAATTGACACCTGGAGATTTCATGGTAACGTTTTATAATCTGTTCAACACTGCAGTGGTTCATACCATTACACATTTCAAATCTAGCGTGATGCATGTAGACATATGCCTATCCTCTGGACTATCTTCACACGGAAGACTGCAAAACCATTTCTGTTCATATTGACGCATCACCATCAACCTGAAACCTAACTTATCTTATTCTTTACTTCTCACCCATAAAACAGAACAAAAATAATAAAAAAAAACAGTCAAGTTACAGATAAAACCGAACTAAAGATCAGTTTCAGACAAACCATGTGATAAATACTAAAGTACCGTAAAGTTCCACTGTGGATGAAAATAAAACATATTGTGAATTACACTAAAAATTATATTAGCAGTTACAGTATGACCTTTAACAAGATTTCCCTTCACTGATGTAAAAACAACCCCTTTGAATCCCTTTGACATGCACACACAGACAAATCTCTAAAGGTGCATTACAGATGATGTGTCAGAGAAACAACACATTCCTATTTTATATTACACCAAAAATATATTACATTAATCTAGGAATTATTTATGATTTTATATTTCTACAGAAATAATGTGCCTGATTTCACAGCATTAAATAGTTTTTACGCATATTATCGCAAAGCAACTTCTATTGAAATGCAGCAAGTTACCGAGAGAAATACACAACAGCACAAGGTCAACTACTGACTATTTCCTAGTGTCCTCTAACATTTTGTCACTGAAATCCTTTCTTTAACACTTCAGACTTTCTTTAATAGACTAGACAGATCAGAATTAAGGCAGTAAATCTGCCATCAACTCAGATTTTATGGAAAATATATGAGACATGAAATTTATCCTATTGAGCATTTAGAACAAGCCATCTCTGAGGTTTGACCTTTAAATGCTTTCATTCTTTACCTTATGTGTGTACAAATCCCACAATGCAGTGCAAGTCTCTGGACACAAAGTCGGACCATTGAAACATTTCTCAGGCCAAAAAAATGGCAACAGCATTGCATCATCATTACAGAATCCATAATCAGCATACAAATCTGCAGAATAAACACCTGTTCGCTCACTTGCCGTTCCATCCACATAAATACATTCAGAAAACTAAGACAAGGCAATCGTATGACAACAAACCCCCAGAAACCATGAAAAGCACCTCAGGATCAACCAAAATGTCCTAAATGGTCCCGCACAGACACGTTTCTACCAGCTAAAAGCAACTGAAATTGATCACAGCTCTCACCACAGGAAGCTCAGATGATGTGAAACATTTCCAGCAAAGTATTTCAGCATCTAACAGTCACACACATTTTTATTTTGTCCAAGGTAGATGAATGAAGTCACCTGAAAAGCAGAAAAGCATTTCAACGTCCTTGTGGCTCGATAAAAAAAACAGCTGGTTGATGAATGCAGATCATTTTATCACTGATAATCCATCATTTTTCGGCCCCCGGGTTTCTAGAAACTGTTCTGAGGTTTGAGTTCAAGAACACTGTGGTGTTCCCGCCCTCAAAGAGAATTCAGTTTCTGATTGGCTCAAGATTTGATTGGCAGCCGTGTGTGGCCATAAAGGAAGTGCGTAGCTCTTTGGTGATGAAAAGCAAATGATTTGGTTTCTCTATACAGTGAAGGCAAAATGGAGAGCATAGTGATCACTAAGAACTCTGGGTGAACAAAAGCCCCGTTGACATCCACAACATTGAAGTTAAAGGCTAATTGTAGATTAATAAAGGCCTAAACTCACAAACGTTTGCAATGAAACATTGGCTAAGCCATGCAAACAGAATACAAATAACACTCTGCAACTATCAGCAATCATTTCATCTAAAAGTATATATATATATATTTGTCAAAAATAGCCTATACTATACTGTGCGATACTGTACACTATAATTATTTATATAGGAGAGATTTAAGCGAGCAGAAATCTATCGTATGTTCAAATCTCTCTGCTGATGATGGTTTAGAAATGAGAGTTAATGAACATAAACTAGCACTTAAGCTAATGCTAGCAATTAAGTTCCCTTAATAAATCCAGAGTGAGTCATTTTCTAAATGACTCCTTTGAATCAATAGATTAAGAAGCTGAAGAATCAAGTGTTTAAAAGACTCAGTTTGATTCTTGGAGCTGCCGTTTAGTGCAAGAATCAAAGTGAAAACCACACACATACGATTCACATGATTCTACAGAGCTGGTGTATGACTGGACAGCTGGTCGTAAAGCTCTGTGTGCTGACTGGTGTAGAATAGAGGCATGAAGTGGCCGTCCAGTCTGCACCCCTTCTTTCTGCTGGACATGAATGTAAGTGACGTTCATAGTGAAAGATGTCTAATGAAGATGAGTGGCTCAGGTGAGTTTACACACATAAAGTGTGATAAAGGTCAGTGGTCACATGTCAAGGTTGAGTCTGTGTGATAGAGTTAAGGTGAAAGGCCGTGGTTCAGTACACGCAGAGGTCAGGGAACTTCATTTCGTAGACTGGCACAGACTGGTATTGGGCGTGGCCTGACGTCACCGTCACGGTGCCCGATGGGCTCGGGGGAGGGCTGATTAGAGATGAATAGACAAAACAACCAATCAAATATCAGTTCTTCACACTGAAAAAATATTACATGACAAACATTATAACAAGTAAATATTCTACTTTATGAAACGTCAACATACCGAATGGTGAGTTCAAATATCTGAGCCAAGCGATCGTGCAGCATGTTGGCCTGAAAACACACACAGGAAGTTCAAATGCTGCGTCAACGGGCTCCTTATTACCACAACACAATCTTTCACCAATTATGGTTAATATGCCAATGATGTGTAATGTCATCTTACATCTTAAAAAGAGTTCTTTAATCAGGAAAAGTCAGAAATGGTTTAAACAAACCCCCATATTTTTTGCACTTTGACAGGAAATGGTTTATTCAATGCAGAGTTTGGTAGAGTAAATATGTCTTACAAAAACTAACCTTATTTATATTTACTTGTATCTAATATTACTATATATTGGCCTATTCAAAACTTTGGCGTCATTGGTTTTGAAAGGTTGCATTTATTTGATCATAAATACAGTAAAAGGATAATATTGTAAAATATTAAACAGTTAAAAATAACTATATTCTATTTGAATATATTTTACAATGTAATTTATTCGTGTGATGGCAAAGCTGAATTTTCAGCAGGCATTAAATTCAGTCTTCAATGTCACATGATCCTTCAGAAATAATTCTAATATGCTGATTTGCTGCCCAAGAAACATTTCTTAATATCAATGTTAAAAATGGTTGTGCTGCCTAATATTTTTTGTGGAAATCTTGACACAGTTTTTTCTAAGATACTGAATATAAAGTTTAAAAGAACAGCATTTATTTGTACTATTATCCATGTCTTTACTGTCACTTTTGATCAATTTAATGCGTCCTTGTTGAATCAATTTTTTATTTATTTTCTTAAACAAAAAACAATTTTGAACAATAGTGCATGCATGCCAATACATAGATTATTGGGCTAAAACTATAAAAAATTATCTGTTATCACATTGGCACATTCTTGGTTTTCCCCAGTGCTTTGTTTTAAATGCAAACAAGCTGATTGGCAGAACACACATGCTGTACCTTGGACTCGCAGTGGGCGGCAATCTCTTCAAACGGAGCCTTCTGGAACTTCTCCATCACCTGCCGTCTCCTCTCCCTCTCCTGTTCCTCCAGACCTGTGGTATCTGAGAGATGGAACGACATCAGACGCTAGCACACAAACACACACACACACACACACACACACACACAGAGCAGTATAATCCACACGTACCGATGGCCTTCTTCAGGGTCTCAAACGTGATCTCCTCTGCAAGCTGAGACTACAGGATAAACACACAAATATGTTCTTTAGTCTAATTCTTCATGATGAACAACTCAAGCATGTTTAAATTGTGTCCAGTGTACCTGATCAGGCAAGCTGTTGGAAAGGATGTCAACTTGGAGAGAAATAGTGTCGACAAAACTCTTCCTACGGGGCAGTCGATCTTCATCTGTGGGACAGAAGTCACTGACATAAATGGTGGAAGCTTTGAGACCTCAGATATTTCTGATCATGCACATATTCGATCTGGATAACTAAACACAGTATTCGCATTTGTGATATATGGGTTTAATTCACCTCTTATACATGAAGGGAGGTGAATTTCCCAAAGCCAGCCAGTGTAATCTCACTGACTGCTCATGTTTAATGAACGTAATGTTGAGGCAAAGTGGCATGAAATCATTATTAAACAGAAGGAAATGCAAATCACACAAACACAGGCAGCAATCACAGCAAAACAGGTTTCAAAACAAAAATTCATAAGTAAAAGTGAGAGTTTCAAGGCAAGAGTGCTGATGACACATCAGAAGTAAACCAACTCCATAAACATCTCATTTCAGGAAACAAATACAGTATACACTCACATTCCATCAAAACATCCCTTGCATGTTTGTTTTTCCTCATTATAACCGCATTATATTAAGGATGAACAAACTAATGTTTTCCTATTATAAGTTTACACCACAAGAAATGAATAAAACTTTAACAATTTTATATACAGTACATTGTACAAGTATAATTTTTAATTATATATAAATATACTGTATATTATATTTATTAAATATAACTGTGCCATTAATATGAATTAATATTAATTCAAACCTCACCAATTCTTTGTAATATTAATAATAATATCTATTTATCAAATCAGCACTGGAATCTGTGACCAAATTTATGTGTAAAATAAACCCTCTACTCAAAGGGTTTCTCTAGTTCAGCAGGTTGAAAGTGAGGTCCAAAAATTCCAATAAAATGTCAAATGATGCTTCATCAGCACTCTCCCTTTGACCCAAGTTACTGAACTATGAGCTCAAACCGTTGTGCGATTTCTCTTTAACCTACCAGTAAAACCGTCCAGACGACAGCAGCATACAAAACACCAAACAGGACCAATTATCTCATTACACAATATACCTGCTGTATATTTCATCCCAATGCAGAAATTCATTTAACAACACATTCAGGAGCTACAGGAAATCTGTCACGGCTGCTATAGAGGAGAGGAAGTCGACATATGTAACAGTGGTAAATTTATGGTTGGGCTAGGGAGAAACTAACTACATTTTCATGCTATTCACTAAACCTTCTATCCACACACACATGGACAGGTGACCTCACTAACTCACTGATGGTACCTCTGGATGTCTGTCTGCATCTGTGCAGAATCTTTCCTACCGTGTAAAGGACTACAGTGCAAACACACAGACAGAGAGAAGGCAACAGTGAATGAAGTGGGTGAATTCACATATGACAAGAAATCATCTTCAGGAAGTTAGTATTAACAGTAAAACTAGTATTTTAGAGGTTTAGAGGGACTTGGTGATTCATCTTAGCACCAGGTTCTTGGCTGGAATACACTACAAGACAGATTTTAAAACACTAGGCATCATACACTTGTCGAATTTGTAAGTGGATACAGAGAAAAACTGGGCATCATACACTAAAAAACTGAGAATCAAACACTACCAGACTTTCAAGACTTTCCAAACATAAACTCATACAGAAACGTGTTTTGTTTCTAGGATATGCATGACAAATGAAACCTATTTGTATTAAAATCAGCTCAAAATATCAAACATGTCATATCCTCTGACTGGATGGAATCAAATTTGTAAACTACTACTGCCCAAAATCTGCAGGCTAGCAATGACTTTCAGCTACTAGACATAGAGGCAGCAGATCAGGCCAAAAATACGGGCAAAAGATGTGTAGTGTTTTGCAGCGTTAAGTGCTTAAAGACAGCACGAAATGGCATTCACAATCATTTTATTTTCATAATGTGACATATTTTCATCTGAAATTAAATATTCAATGAGAAAAATATATATTTTACCCACTGTGATTTGATTGATCAGGGAAATGCTATACTTTTAATTAACAGTATTATTGCCTAATCAGCAAAAAAGTAATTTCACATGTAGAAAACTATTTCATATTTTTATTTAAAAAAAAAGGATAAAAAAATTAAATGTCAATATAGGGTTAATTAGCATGTAATGTTGCTGCTTAAGATTTAAGATTTAATATTAAATCAAATCAGATAACGTCTGATTTCTTGAACAGCACAGAATAGTGTTTACCTGTAACCTGCGGTATGTACGGAACAGCTAGTCTCTCTACGTTATATCCAGGTACAGACAGAGCTTCTGCCAGATCAGCCGTCTGAAAATACAAACCAACGTCGTCCCGGTCTAAAGAGTCTGGGAGCCTGAACCACACACACAAACATACAGATACACACAAGGAAAGAGACCTGGAATGAGTTATGGCATTGTTATTATACATTAATAAAATCAACAGATTCAAGCTATGGCCGATATTAAAAGGTTAAAAAAAGGTTACATTTTAAATAAATCATTCATTTTAAAGGCTAAAGTAAATTCAAGAATCACAACATTGTAATGTACGGCATGAAAAAATAGATATTTATTTTGAGTTCAGCTAAAGATTACATTTAATAGCTTTATTCAATTATCAGCGTTTTTAAAGATTAACTTTAAGTGAATGTTAGATGAAGCCAAAGGTAAGCATAATTAATTATCCCATATCGACTGATATTGATAAATAAAAAAACCCCTCAAATTTTGGCTGATTACTGATATTCTCCTTAAGAATAAACACATTCACAGAAATACTCACACACACTTCTCTCTGAAGACGTGTTCAGGCAAAAGGTGCGGAGCATCTAGATTTCTCATCTCAATCACCTGACAGGAAAATTATCAGCGTTTTTAAAGATTAACTTTAAGTGAATGTTAGATGAAGCCAAAGGTAAGCATAATTAATTATCCCATATCGACTGATATTGATAAATAAAAAAAACCCCTCAAATTTTGGCTGATTACTGATATTCTCCTTAAGAATAAACACATTCACAGAAATACTCACACACACTTCTCTCTGAAGACGTGTTCAGGCAAAAGGTGCGGAGCATCTAGATTTCTCATCTCAATCACCTGACAGGAAGAAAAGAAGTTACAGGATGTTGTATGTAGGATACGTGTGTGCCATAAGCATGTGCGCACATTTACCTTGCTGACGTGTTGGCAGAAAGGGGGATTTGCAATCATCTGACTGAGGAAGTTGAGGTATGCGGCAATCAATGCCATGATTCCACAGCGAATAAACATTGGCATGTTCTCCTCATTGGCCAGGGCCATATCCTTCAGCCAATCAAAACACAGATTAGCATAACAAATAGGAAATCTTGGACAAATTGCTTCTGCTAAGTCTCTTTGGATGCAAGCGTCTGCTAAATGAAGAAATGTCAGTGTAGGTGAGCATACCTGCAGGGCGATGGACAGGCGTATGAGATCAATCACCACCTCCTCATTGGCAAGTTCAATAGTGATCAATGCCAAAGCTGTGAAAAGCAGCTCAAAGTTCTTCTGCACATTATCTTCCTCCTTACAGCCCAGATAGATGTGTCTGTATAGCTGCTGCCCATGCTGGAGGGAGAGAGATCAACAGTTTCAGGGCTGCGGTTCCATGTGTGTGTTTATGAAGTCTTGTACCTTTTTCATGAAAACCACATCCTGTTTGGAGATTTTCTCTCTCTTGATCTTCAGAGCGGCTACATTAGGAATAATCCTGCACACAAACACAAAGGAAATGGTCCAGTAAGCATTTATTCTGAGGCAGATGCATCAGAACACACACTCTCACCTAAAACTGCTGCACCAGAGTTATGTTATTATTGTTAACTAAAACTATTAAACTTTAAAAGTTGTTTTCGTTAATTGAAATAAGGCTTAAAAATGATATATACTGTATATATATATATATATATATATATATATACACAGTATATATATATGTTAAAGTAGAAGCACTGCAATTACTAAAATTTAAATAAAAATTATTATAAAAAAAAACTAAGGAAAATGACAAAGCACAACAAAATTAATTAAACTAAATTTATAATAATATAATATATATAAAAATATCTAATACAAATTATTAATAAATACTATAACAGTATACCAACAATAAAAATAAAACTGGTATGTCAATCAAGTAAGTCTTTTAATTGTGATTGATCTCATAATTCTTTCAAGGAGTAGTTCACGCAAAAATAGTGGAATTCTGCAAAAAAGAAGGTAAACATCCCATCTAGGTTTGATGTATAAATGAATAACCCACTTGTGCTGCAGCTCCTTTAATGAGGTTTTACGAATCCCACAGAACATAATGAAACAGTTATATGTCAAATTGAATAAATGCATTTACAGCATTAAAAACTGTGTTAAATAATTTAATTAATTGCAGGTGTTAACGCATTCCCTTTTGACAGCCCTAGTTTTCACACATTCACTTTAGGGTGTTAAGTGTGCATCCATACCGGATCCCTCTGAGTTTGGCTCTGTTGTCATGGCGATCAATGATGTTGTGCAAAATCTCCAAGACGAGCTGCCGTAGTTCACTGTCTTCCATCAAAGAGATAGAGCATAATGGCTCCAGAAACGCCATGGGCAGGCCAGCACAAATCGTTTTACACTTAAACCCTGACGTAACCTACACACACAAACACACAGAAAGAATCCATCAGATATGAACAGTACCACCATTATAGTACATATTCACACTAGTAACTCTAGAAACACTGTTGCGCTCGTGGAAATGGCAAGTGGAGACGTGCTGATATCGCGTTTGGTCTCATCTGTATCGCGTATCTTGTCAGTGTCTGCGCTTGCTTGGCCATTTGTTGTAGAAAAAAATAAGGAAAGTGTGTTCAAGCGCAAGCAGAAAACAGTGTAAAGAAATACTCTTTGAGAGAGAAGCAGTCTTTATCAGCGGAAGTTAAAAGCAGCTCGTAAGTGTATTTACTTGTCTCATTAGTGTTTAGTGCAGTTGTCGTTGCTAGGAAATGCTTGTTTTATTTACTGTGTGGAGACGTGCTGATACCGCGTTTGGTCTCGTTCTGTATCGCGTATCTTGTCAGTGTCTGCGCTTGCTTGGCCATTTGTTGTGGAAAAAAATTAAGAAAAGTGTGTCCAGCTGAATTAATTTAGTATTCTGTTAGACGGGTATAAAAAAAAAAGCTTAGTTTACCGCGGCCTCCACGTGTGAAGACCAAAGAGTGTAACTCTACCGTGCGACTCCACCGGGCAGGGACACCAGCAAAGGATAAGTATCGCTTTTTATTTCTCCTCTTTCCTACTACTTGTTTCACTTCTGTTTCCGTTTTTATAACCATTTCTTACTATGTGTAAGTAAGTTGTTGTTTTATAGCATGTGTGTTTGGCAGTGTTATTTTTTAGGATTACTGATAAACTATACAAAGTCGTTTGATTTGTATTATTTGTTTTTGTTATTTATTTTAATTTGAGTTAAATTATGTCTTAATTTATTATGTCTGTGTAGGTCTTTTATTAAGTTTTAGTTTTATTTAATTTAAATTATTTTACTACTTCAACAAATTAAATGGAAATGCAATAATATATATATTGAATCTATAAATGTGTATATATATATATGTATGTATGTGTGTGTGGTTGTACATACACATATATGTAGTTGTTTTTTTGGTGTTTGGCTTAGTGTTATGTTAGAATCATTATTATACTCTTATACCTTTTGTTCTTTAATATTTTTAATTGTTTTTAGCTTTATTTTTTGTTTTTCATTTAAATGTTAAGTTTTGAAATGTTGTATGCATTTGTCATTTTTATTTAATTTCTTTATTTTTAAATTTAATTTCTTTATAAGTAGTATTTATAAAGTTTTTGCTTTTAGTTTTGGTTCTGTTTTTAGTTGTTTTAATACTAGAATTGATTGCTTCTGTTGTCCTCATTTGTAAGTCGCTTTGGATAAAAGTGTCTGCTAAATGACTAAATAAATAAAATAAAAATAAAAGTGGAAGAAGGAGAGCAAAAGCAGTTGACATCCAAAATAACAATTGTACAACTCAACCTGCGGCCCATTTCCTGCCTGTTGCTGGGCAACAGTGCCTGAAAAGTTGCCCTGTCTAAAACCAGACTAAAGACAAAATTGGACATTAGAAAAAAAAAAGAAGAAAAAGGACACAAAGCACCACAGGCAGCTGTAATCTAATGTTATGATCCATGCAGTCTGCTGTCTAGGAACCTTCAGAAACTCCCTCCAGGAGAGAGTGGAGGGTTTTTACTAACAAGCTCAGAGACAGAATATAAGTCTAATATATTCACTAGTCATGACTGATAACTCTGAAATGATACCTGATACAAGCCTTAAAGTGTGGTCACATTAGCAACATTTCTGTGATTTTTTTTCTAGCAAAGTATGCCCTGTTCACACTTCCAGCGACTTTTTCGCTGTATGTCGCTAGACGCTTGTGGGCGTTCCTACTGCTGTCGCTCTAATGTTATTGGTAGACTGCACGTCTGGACATATCTGGACATATAAAATGCAATCACAAACTGTATATTGCCGGTAAAACTAAGATACCATCCTATTATGACTAGGAATTAGACTTAAATTCTGCTGTAGGAGAGTGTTGTTATATAAACTACAGCAGTGCTCATGCATTAAATCATTAACCGGTGCTAAACTGCTCACTGCATCATGTAATTAACAACTCGAACCATCAACGTATGAATCAAACTCACTTAGACAGCCAACAGTTTCTTATCTACGCATAATTTTTTATATCCATGTATGTGGTTACAGTAAAATCATATAAAACAGTGAAACCGCTCAGGAAATCTGTCCTGTCTTGCCTGCACTCGAGACGATGACGTGTGAGGAATAGTACAAATAAAGACAACTAAACAAAGATACAAATGAAAAAAAAAAACAGCGCCTAAAGTTTTTTTAAAATCTGTAACCGCAATATTTCGAGGTCTGATTTGTCTGTTTACACTCACTGAAGACGCACTTTTGACATTCCTGATTACATGTGTCAGTTTAACATGCACACTTAAACTTTCTCCAAACACTACAACTGCCATGACGACTGTAGAATCACACACACTGTCCTACCCAATCTTGACGGTGTCCAGCGTGTGACACGGCGTGCCGTAAACAGGAACTTTCCCCATAACGAACATCATCACTTCAGCTCTCTGATAATCAGGAAGATTTCCTCCAAAGAAACCTAGACACGCACACAAATCCATTTTATTGAATTGGTTCAGTATTTGGACATAACAAGAGTTCTTATTTTAGTGAGCATGTCAAGCTGTCACCAATGGTTTGGATGATAGCATTCTGGACGATCCGCTCCTCGCTCTCTTTGGTGCGGGTGGAGGAAAGGCTGCTCGCGGAGTTCCTGCGGGAACCGTCGCCCAGCTCAAAATCCACACTCATACGCAGATGCTTTAGCAGGGTGTTAAACACCTCCAGGACCGTGGGACCTGAGAATTAGCACACAGACAGCACAAAAGTAATTATGCAGAATCGTTCAGATTTTCCTTCAAAAGCAGCACAGAATATGCTTAAAACATCACATTCTGTCTGGACCTACCGAATAATCACTGTGTGATATTAAAGTGATAGTTCGATGAACATTTTGTCATCATTTACCCACCCTCATGTTGTTCCAAACCTGTATTTTCTTTCTTCTGCTGAACACAGAAAAATATATTTTGGTAATTTTTCCATAGTATGGAAAAAAATACTATGGAAGTCCATGGCTACCGGCAAAATATCTTCTTTTGTGTTCAACATAATAAAAAAACTCATACAGAATTGGAACAACATGAGGGTGAGTAAATGATGACAAAATTACCATTTTGGTGAACTATCCCTTTAAAAAACACATTAAAGGGTTAGTTCACCCAAAAATGAAAATTCTAATTACTCACCCATGTGTTGTTCCAAATCCATAAGACCTTCATTCATCTTCGGAACACAATTTAAGATATTTCTGATTAAATCTGAGGGCTCTCTGACCCTCCCATAGACAGCAAGGTAACTACCACGTTCAAGGTCCAGAAAAGTACCAAGCCACATGCTCGCGTCATGGTACTGTCGTGAACACGCGTCCACAAGTGAAGCAGTAGAGACGAAAATGTGGAATAAAGCCGTTATTTTTGTTTTCTTTGCCCAAAAAAAGTATTCTCGTAGCTTCGTAACTTTACATGATTTTGAGTTTCCATTTTTATATAAACAATGGCTCGCGCCCTATTTGCAAACTATACACGCTAAAAAGTATGTGTATAGTAGTAGGAATTTCAGAAGTTGGTAGCAAAATCAATGAAAATTAAATTTGATGGATCTTTATTATTTGACAAATCTTGATTATTATTTGATGAATCACAAATATTATTTGAGATTATTATATTAGACTAAAACTATGGCATAAAGCCTTCAAAAACATCTCAATTATGTAAACATTACTTGAATTTTTTCCAGTTATTCAGGAGAAGTAAATAGTAATGCAGTACAATACAGAACAAAAAGAGGAATAGTACAAATAAAAACAACTAAACAAAGATACAAATGAAAAAAAAAAACAGCGCCTAAAGTTTTTTTTAAATCTGTAACCGCAATATTTCGAGGTCTGATTTGTCTGTTTACACTCACTGAAGACGCACTTTTGACGCACTGATTACATGTGTCAGTTTAACATGCACACTTAAACTTTCTCCAAACACTACAACTGCCATGACGACTGTAGAATCACACACACTGTCCTACCCAATCTTGACGGTGTCCAGCGTGTGACACGGCGTGCCGTAAACAGGAACTTTCCCCATAACGAACATCATCACTTCAGCTCTCTGATAATCAGGAAGATTTCCTCCAAAGAAACCTAGACACGCACACAAATCCATTTTATTGAATTGGTTCAGTATTTGGACATAACAAGAGTTCTTATTTTAGTGAGCATGTCAAGCTGTCACCAATGGTTTGGATGATAGCATTCTGGACGATCCGCTCCTCGCTCTCTTTGGTGCGGGTGGAGGAAAGGCTGCTCGCGGAGTTCCTGCGGGAACCGTCGCCCAGCTCAAAATCAACACTCATACGCAGATGCTTTAGCAGGGTGTTAAACACCTCCAGGACCGTGGGACCTGAGAATTAGCACACAGACAGCACAAAAGTAATTATGCAGAATCGTTCAGATTTTCCTTCAAAAGCAGCACAGAAGATGCTTAAAACATCACATTCTGTCTGGACCTACCGAATAATCACTGTGTGATATTAAAGTGATAGTTCGATGAACATTTTGTCATCATTTACCCACCCTCATGTTGTTCCAAACCTGTATTTTCTTTCTTCTGCTGAACACAGAAAAAAATATTTTGGTAATTTTTCCATAGTATGGAAAAAAATACTATGGAAGTCCATGGCTACCGGCAAAATATCTTCTTTTGTGTTCAACATAATAAAAAAACTCATACAGAATTGGAACAACATGAGGGTGAGTAAATGATGACAAAATTACCATTTTGGTGAACTATCCCTTTAAAAAACACATTAAAGGGTTAGTTCACCCAAAAATGAAAATTCTAATTACTCACCCATGTGTTGTTCCAAATCCATAAGACCTTCATTCATCTTCGGAACACAATTTAAGATATTTCTGATTAAATCTGAGGGCTCTCTGACCCTCCCATAGACAGCAAGGTAACTACCACGTTCAAGGTCCAGAAAAGTACCAAGCCACATGCTCGCGTCATGGTACTGTCGTGAACACGCGTCCACAAGTGAAGCAGTAGAGACGAAAATGTGGAATAAAGCCGTTATTTTTGTTTTCTCAACACGAGGGTTAGTAATTAATGACAGAATTTTCATCTTTGGGTGAACTAACCCTTTAAAAAAAACATCAGACCATGTGACTCAAACTAGACGCAGGAACTAAAGAGCACTGCTAGGGGGCACTGCAGTTTCTCTACACGGCAAACCCTCAAAACCTTCAGTCACTTGTCACTATACACCATAAAAACCACATGACAGACCCCTAATGAGTGCACTAGTTCACCATACACACGCCCAGTTTAGTGACCGCCTGAAGATTTTGACTGGGTGACAGCTGTGTTAGTTAACATACCCAACCACAGATTGGGTGGTGAAGAGACAGGACTGAGAAACGTGTAAGCATTGTTTTGATTATGTGCAATATGACCTGTGAGAAAAAAAAACTGATTTCAGGAAAGAGACATGGAATAAAGAAAAAGACAATGAGGAATGAACATCAGAAGAGATGAAGAAATGACAAGCGGAAATGTAGTTTGTTATTTTCGGCATCTACACACAAGCAAAAGAACAAACAGAATGACATTTAAAAAAAGAAAGAAATTAACATAATGAGAATAAAACAGCAACAAGTAGACTTTTACATTTAAACCGTACAAAAAAAGGGTGCATTAAACTGATTAAAAGTGACAGTAAATGCATTTTTAATGTTACAAAAAAAGCAGTTCTTTTGAAATTTCTATTAATTGAAGAATCCTTAAAAAATGTATCACGGTTTCTGCAGAAATATGAACAAGAACAACTGTTCTCTACATTGATAATAATAAGAAAAGTTTCTTGAGCACCAAATCTTATATCAAGATCACATGACACTTTCATGTTTGCCATCACAAATTACATTTGAAAATATATTCAAATAGAAAACAGTTATTTTAAATTGTAATAATGTTTCACAATAGTACTGTTTTCACTTTATTTTTGATCAAACAAATGCAGCCTTATTGAGCACAAGAGACTTCTTTCAAAAACATTTTAAAAAGTCAACGGTACTGTAAACGTAACAATGTATAAAATATAATTTTTACATTTTCTTAAAAAAAATTAAATAAATAAAAACTCCACAAAGTTAGGATGGTTACTTCAAAACCAGAATGTGAATGTCCACAGTTTGTGTGAGTCTATGGGATTTGTTTAGCTGTTTTAATTCTTAACACTCAGACAAATACATCTCTCCACACAAAGCCACACAATTTGAGTTATCATCTATGTCTGTAGCACATACCGTGCAGGATGAGTTACGTGCCAAAGTTTAATTCTTAGGGTTAATGGTTTGTAAATCTCACACAAAGTAGGAGCAGTAATAACCATGATGCTTGTCTTAGATGATCAGTACTCAGTCTTACCGATGGAGCCCTTGGCTGCTATGGCAACCGTCTCCAGCAGCACCTGAACGATACCTGCCCTCACACGCGGGGTGTTCTTACTGTGGGTGTCAAGGTGAGACAACACTTGCTGGATCACATGGTGAGAATGCTGGGCCTGAAACACACACACACACACACACACACACACACTTCATTACACATGCTGTATAAGTGAATTTACTCCCCATTATCATTAAATGCTGCAACGGTCACACAGGAGTAACGCAAAAAGATGAAGTGAGAATCTGGTCGCTTTACCTGTATTGAGTACATGATTATCCTGAAACAGGAAACAGCAAAATCATTCGGGTCCCACAGACGATGGTTGTCTAAATGCCTGCAGGAAAATAAAACGGTTTATTATGACCTCTTATAAGACAACATATTTACTGACAATTCATGGATAGTCATGTATAAGATGTCTTCCTTTCTCTGTGTTTATCAAATATTTAGGATTATTTGATGTTTTGAATGTTTTCAAACCACCAATACTACACCAGTATTGAGTACATGATTATCCATATACACCAAGATGGTTCACTCATATTATTATGAATGGGAGAGAGTGCAATGTGTAATATGATGGAATAAGTCCCACCTTCTAAGGAAAAGAGCCAATCAACAAACGGTAGTCAGTGTCTAGAAATGTGTGCTTGAGACTGCAACCTGGAATATATGCTTTTAATGCTATTTGAGCATAAGAAACAACATTTATGAGTCAGTTAATGCCAGATTTTATAGCAGATATGAAACATGTTATTACATTTTGAAAACTGCCATATTTAAATATGCTGAATTGACCCTTTTCTAAATAAAAAATTACTGACCAATTTTATGTTAGTAATCTTTGCCCTCCACAATTTTCTCAAACAAGCTTTTAGCATTTTCTAATGTAAATCTGTGGAGAATCTGTGTTTGGAGTTTTTTTTTTAAATTCATTTTATGGAAATTATCTAACAAAAAAAAAAAAAAAAAAAAAAAAAGGTTAAATGTTGTCATTTATAATAGTGAAGTAGGGATGATACAAGTAGAATTTTTGCATCCTTTTCCAATTTTTCTAAAACACACAAACACACAACAACAACAACTCATAATTAAAGAGATAGTTCACCCAAAAATAAAGATTTATTCTTTAACTACCCGCATTTTGTTTCAAACCTGTATGACTATATTTCTTCTGTGCAACACAAAGAAGATATTTTGAGAAATGTCTCAGTGATTTTCATCTATAAATTGGTAACCAATGGTCACCAAAACTGTTTGATACCAGCCTTCTTTAAAATATATTTTAATGTTCTGCCAAAGAAAAAAAAGTCATACAGGTTTGGAACTCAAATTCCATAAATAAGCTAGTTTGGAGTCTTTAAAGGCTCATGTGCAACCAGGCAACCACATTCACAGTCTGTGATTTTTATACAGGTGTTTGCAATTCAATTCTTGCACCGCTGTCTTTTACGTCGGACACGGTGCTTTCAACAGCAGCTGTGATGCGGAAAATTTAGCAATCTTTCACCACATCACAAATCCTGTTTCCACACCTTTATCTCTCCTCTTTTCCTCAGTCTGATCTAAGTCTAAAACCTCTATGCCACCATCGTCTCCCTTCCTGCTGTCACCATGGTAACGTCAATCTGATCTCACCCCCCATCCGATGCGAGCTATTTTTAGAACGCCAGAAATCCACCTCCACCCAAAAAAAGCTCTCGCTGTCTGTCTGTCTGTCTCCCCGAACACCAGTTTTATGTGTTATCAGAGGTACAGATATCTGCCCTGGAGCTCAATATTCCCTCAAAACCTCACGCAAGTTTAATAAATACAGAGCGCACCGCGCACAGTTTAATTAGGAGAGAGCAAGAGAAAGAGCGAGACATAAGAGACGGAGAGATGTGATGGAGAAGGTGAGGCGGTGTGATAGAGGAAGAGATGCGTTTGAAAGCCCCTTGGCGCTTTGATATTCTTTTTTTACAAACGTCTCATTCAGTACTAATTGGCCAATGACTGAGATGAGCCAAAACAGTCTCATTAATGAGCCCCGTGAGTGTCCGCACACACACACACACACACACACACACACACACACACACACACACACACACACACACACACAGAGTACACATAGGACAGGAAATGAGTACTGAATTCTACTGATTTTCAGTCACAAGCAGCCCAAAATTCACCTGCAGGTTTCTTTTGATAAAGAGATCTATTCATTTATAATCTATAGTTGTACTTTAATATTTAATACTGCTAAACTAATTCCAGCCGCATGAGAATAATCAATACTGCATTCATTGCGCACTGTCTACTCATGTAATATACACTCGAAAAAGGGTTTTTGCTGCTTGTCCAATTTAATTAAAATGAGTTGATACAATTCTTGCACATTTTATCATGCATGCAATTAATTAAAATTTTTTAAACTGAAAGTTTGCTTAATCCGTTTGCATTGAGGCGAATAATTTTCACTGACATAACACTAGAAAATTATGGGAGTGTTTTTAATCTAATATCATCTGTCCATGTAGTCAATTTAATTTAGTACTCTGCTAAATTACAATATGGTTATTTCTTTATTTTTGTAAATAATAAAGGTATTGTTGATGCTGACATTATGAAATATTTTAATTTTTGAAGATGTGAAATCAGAGAAAAAAAAGATGAATGTCAATATTCAGTGTCAGTAGGACTGATATGATGTCAGTGTGCAATCAGAGACACATATTTGCATCTGTAAGCCATTTAACACATAAATCAAGCACAACACAGCTGGATTCAGATCACAACAATTTCTTTAACACAAAACAGCCATCTGGGCGCTGCTTGCATTTTCTGCATGATGTTTATGTTGAGACTGAATGAATACCATCATGCCCACAGCATGAGAGGAAGCAGACGAGCGGCTGACAGCAGCAGCAGCAGCAGCAGCAGCAGCGTCTGGACACCTGAGCTCGCAGGCTAACACTGTGCTGTGTGTTTGTCTGAAAACATCTGCATGTCTCTGTGTGTCTCAAAGTGCTCTGGCACCCTTCGTATACGAGTACGCACTGCATATTTGAGACTACACCTCATCAAGATCATACAACACCTGATCTATCTATGAACATGTTATCATTGTATTGTCTGCTTTCAGTTTTCTCTTGCAATCTCTGCTCACAAGCAACCCTGAAAAGTGATTAATGGAAACTGACATCCTGAAAAGATGAAACGGCCACACATATTTTAGCCTGCGCGTTTGCGTGTGTTACAGGGTTACATGAAATAGCACAGATTTAAAATGGTGCAATACCAATATTTAGCAGATATTTGTACCTGACCTTAACGTGCAGGTATTTAGCTCAGTTGAGCAGTTCAGGCAGTGTGATGTAAAGGATAAAAGTTCATGTTTAAGGGTGAATAATGCATCAATGCATGATTTTAGAATCAAATGCATTGATTATGTAATTTATATTCAACTGCAATTAAACAGTTAGGGCATGTAAAAGTTTTGGTGTGAAGCGTGTGACGATGTGAGGAAGTGACATGCCCATAAATATGTTTCCAAATCACAAAAATAACTATAAAACTGAACTTACTAGTGATGCAACTAAATTAATTTCTACCAAAAATTAAAGATTCCATTTAGCCAAAAAAGACACCAAAAATAAACCTGAATCAAATATAAACATTTACACTGCACATATATGCAGCTTTTATATAAACTTTTTAATGATATAATTATGTTTCTACTCCAATTAATTGTTGATATATAAACATTTCAATGGTGGCTATAATAAAAAATTTATTAAAATACGTAATTGTATAAAGGTGGTAATTAATCATAAATGGTATGGTCAATGATTGCGCACATCCAAAACATTTTCAGCCAAATAGCAACAAAAAAAAGGAAGTTATAAAAATAAACTTTCAACTGCAATAGCAACGTCACAATAGCTCCCGGTCTAGATGTGTGCGTTTTTTTGAA